TTGGCAAGCTCCTGGACTTCTCGGTTGGTTCCGGCAGAAGTTCCAACGAACGTTCGGACTTCCGACGAACTCTCGAACTCCTAACGTAATCTCAATCTTGACTCTGGCACAACACCTGCTTTATGTCTTATTGCTATCGTAGTTAATCCTATACACTTTTCTCAACATATAGATTAGATCAAACAAATTATAATTAACTTCATCATCAAAATCCGAGATTCAACAGATTGGACGTCGGACTGGAGGATCGGTCGACATGCCAAAAGATGGACTTCGTGCCATAAGTTCGGATATCCGACCGGAAGGATCAGACATTGCACAAAGAAGATTAGATATTGTGGGAGGTCAACATGATAATGGATCGGGCAATACATCGAAGGAAAGGACGATGCACCGAAGGTTCAGACAAAGTGTCAGATAAACAGATAACATGTCGGATAACATATTGAAGGCTTTATGATTATAATTAGAGTTTTTGAGTCTTGATCAAAGTCGTTTAGAGTTTAATTATGTTGATTTTGGGGCGTAACCATGTTAACTTGATTAGGAGTCAATTGGATCTAAACTAGGGTCAAATTGGGCTTATTGGAAGGTCAATTTAGTGACTTGGGGTTGGGTTAGGTGGGGCGATGGTATCGCTTGTGAGCTAGAAAGCACTGATTTTGCTTTTCTAGGAATCCTCGATGGTAGTACTACCAATGTCAGTGGTAGTATTGCCCAGGTCAATGGTAGTACCACACAAACAAGTAGTGGTACTACTAGAGCCCAGGTTTCCAAGCTTTGCACGATGGTAGTATCGCTCGGCGTAGGCAGTAGTATCGCTAGTACCCTGAAAACCCGGGGATTTAAATTTTTAGCTCTATTTTTTAAGTCATTTGGGATCTATAAATACTCCACTCATGCTTCCTTGGTGAAAGTATGAAAATATTATGATTTGAAGTGTATAAACTCTCTAACTCTCTTGAAAAGTGTTAAGCCTCTTCCTTCTTTAAGTTTAGAAGTCATTCTAAGGGAGGTATGAGGTTTTCTTATAAAAGAGATGTGTGAAGGTTCTCTCCTAAGTCTATGAAAAGGAGAAAGAGTTGTAACAAAGGTAATTGATCTTCGCCTATTGAAAAGAATATTGATAGTACAAGTCAATGGCCTCGAAAGAAGGGGAAGTGACCATAGGTCGGGACGACTGAACTACTATAAATCTGGTTTGCATTTCTCTTTATGTTTTTTCTTACTATTACTAACTAGTTTAATTGCTCACTACCCTTATTCACATTCTAAGTCCTAAGTTAAACGCATTTCTGATACATATTTTTCAATCAAAATTTTTCAAATCGAATACTAATTCTCCCCCCTCTTAGTGCCTTTACAATCCTAACAAGTATGATCATCGCCTCTTGTTTGATATAATTCTTGATGTATGTTCTCCAATTGATGATTCATTTTACATAGTTGTGCATGCAAGGTGGGGTATGTTGGTTCCATCTTCCACGGTTTTGACCTTGACCATGGAGGACAGCAATTGTGATAGGAAGGAGATGCCCATCTGTATCATTTCCTATAGGGCTTGGACCTTTTGGGTCAAGCTAATGAAAACTTCAATAGAGATCATCATATGTATCGATCTTACAAGGGAAGTGGGAAGTTATGATCTTTAAGCAATAATCAATATTAGATAGGAGCCTAGGCTAATCCTGAAGTGTTGATTGATAAGAAGATATTTAAAGTACAATAAGAGGGGAGCAAGATGTCATCACTAGAGCATGTGCAAGCTTCGAAGATAGTTTTCTTGTGATATGTTGATCCTCTTTTTAATGTCAAAATGATGACATTTGATGTTGATGATAATCTTCAATAATCTAACTTTTGATATTGATAATTATCTCCCACTCTTGTAGGATCAATGATCCCATTCTAGGACCATTAGAAAGCTCGAAGTGTTATCCTTTTAACAACCCTACAAAAAAGACCTATGTTGAGAATATCTCTTTATGATTTTTTTTTCTCTTAAAGTAGATCGAGAAGATAGATGTAAATAGACTAACATGGGATACTATGCCCATAGCCCCCGTTATAATCAATGCTTCAAGGAAGTATCAAGATAATCTCTATAATGTTATAAATATTTTGAATATTTTTTTGAATTTGATCTTGGTTCACGTGGCACATTCCACTAAATAGATGTTATCTTTTTCCAACATAGATGATTACATGTAGAGTAATTATTTTTGACAAATATTTCCTTATAAGATGTAATTCATTCTTTCCTTGTTAAATAGTTGTAATGATAAAAAAAACTTGGCATGATCGATATCATTTTTTATTTTTTAAACATGTCTCAAGTTTTTTTTTTCTCTCTTTTTTCCTCCATCAATTATCCATTTAAAGCATAAAGAAAATTGGTAAATCATATTCGTATTCCTAATGGGAAACAAGAATAATATAAGAGGAAGAGAGGACATCTGTGACTGTTACCATTTTACTTGTCATCATCATCACATCATTATATCCACCATCCATTTTTATGTAAAAAATATGCTAATTCAAGCAATAAAATGATGATCCATTAGACAATTGGAGGAGTAGTTTATTTTATCTCGCATCATCACCTTGTCCTAGGAAAGATAGTATAAACGAAGGAGAAATGCAATAAAATGCTAAGATAAAGTGTAGTGTCTACGTGGGTTATTGATCACGATGAGCCCTAGTGGGTTAAAGTGTAGTGTCTACGTGGGTTCTTTATGCATGTTGTTAGTGTAGGCATAAAATATATAATATGCTGTATTAAATGCAGAAACAATCATTTATGTCAGGATTGAAATCAAATAATTAGATATGGTTTAATGATGTATACCTTTTAATGCCATATGAAAAGAGATCGCTATGAATCTGAACTAGATTCTTCTCCTCTCTTCCTATCTTTTCACATGACCACCTAGATTGAAGGTCAAGGAAAAGAGTTGAGAGAAAAACTAATCCCTCAACTGAGATAACCTCTCTATTTCTTCTTGTTTTCAGTCTCTAAAAATCCTGTCTATTTATAGGTGAGAGCAGAAGGTCTATGATAAGTAATTATGAGAGTTCCTCTCGGTTGTCTCCTAAATTATCTTACTTTAAGTGGACTTCCTTTTTATTGACCAATATACCTCTCTATTTCTTCTTGTTTTCAGTCCCTAGAGGTTATGTCTATTTATAAACAAGAGTAGAGGGTCTAGAATAAGTAATTAGGAGAGTTCCTCTCAGTTGTCTCCTAAATAATCATACTTTAAGTGGAGTTCTTTTCTATTGTCAATATATTTCATCAGAATCCAATTAATTACATTATATATATCTTATCCAATTATAAAGAATCATAAAATCTAATAGTTAATATATAAATAATCCGCTAAAAATCGAGCCCACAATGAGAATAAATTCAAATCAACCAAAGTTGGAACTATGAAAAAAAAAAAAAAGTTTTTACGTGTATAGGTGGAGGGGACAAAATTAAATACGATGAAGAGAAGACAAGGATCAATCATGCTGCTTCACCTTTTTTTTAATCTAAAAAATAGAATTTTAGTATAGATCAACTATCGACATGAGTGAGGTTGGAAAGTACAAACAATTCCTCACTTGGAGGATGATCAAAAGTTGATACGTAGATTACACATTTAAGTTGACATGAGAAGAATACACATGGATCCATCTGCTCCATTTATCTATATAGATTATATATTTAAGTTGATACGAGAAGAATACACAGGGATATCCTTGAAAAATGACATATAGACATCCTGATGATACTTATTTGATGTTATCTTAATATCGCATCGTGGTATCGAAATGCACCATCGATACACAACATTGACTTTCACATAAAACTTATATAAGGAGAGGAGAGGAGACAAAAGGTAAAACACCAAATAGTGATTGGCATGACCGATTTCCGAAAGTACTCCGTACTCGCTAGTGTTTAAAGGAGAGAGAATCCATTGTTTCATAGGTCGAAACGATCAATCCAGTTCAGTTTTTACTGAACCAGCAATTAGAGCTCCTCTTTATATTGCTTTGGAGAAGAGAGAAACCGCCTATTCCCAAAAGGAATTCGATCTCTTCAACGTATCAAATAACTAAAATCAACATCTATCAACGTATCAAATAACCAAAATCAACAACACCAATGGGACAAGTTTTCTCTAATTACTATTGCTTCTTTTATCTACATCTACATTAAAAAAAAAAAACCAATTTCTATTATGACTTCTGATAGTATCACGAAAATTGTCGCCATTTATTTGGTTCCCAGAACTATCGGTATCAGATCTCATTCGAACCGGCTTCGATGCATCCTCTGTCTTCCTTGGGATACGAGGAATGAGTCCTCCAACGTATCGTTTGGTCCCATATCGCCAACGGTGTAACGAAGTTATAAGAGTTTGCAGTACAAAAGGAGATCCATGGCGACCTGTGAAGCCTTTTCGCTAATATCAAGTGTGGGATACGTTATAATCTGATAAGCGGGTCATCGATCCACCCAATTCTTTTACGTTTCATGAAATCTAAATACTTCTGCATCACCTCAAAGCTTTCGAGTTTGTACTGCAGGAAATAGATGACGAACAGAGGGAACAGATATGCAAGGGAAGAACAATTCCTCAGTCAATGTTCCACACTCGTCAGGCCCACTGCCTCAGCATTATTATGCCACTCGGTATGAAAATGACACTCCAACTACCATAATACGCAGAAATGCCTAATACTGAGAAGAAGATAACATATTGAATTGATGAACTTCGTATATTACATCAAAGCAACCATTTCACTCTTTTGGTTTCTATGGCATTTAGTATCAGCAGATTGGAAAGGGGCTTTGACCTTCGGATTGCAGTCGACGATAACAATCTTTTTAGGTTGCAGACATCAAAGGCTGATTCAATTCTGAAAGAAAGACCATATTTTTGATGTACACTAAAATTCTTCTGAAAAAGGATAACCTTTGCCGATGGCGACGAGAGCCATGGGCATCAGGGATCTCCCAATCTGGGGCTCGCCAGCTGTACCCCTGGGGAGGCCGGGAACTGCATCCCCGGAGCCGCTATCATCATCTGAAATGCCGTCCGCGGTGACAGAAGGCAGCCCATACCCAGCGGCAAGGTCGGCGCCAACGTGGGAGACAGGGCCAGGGCGGACGGAACGCCGACGCTGCGGAGGCGACGCATGTAGGCGGAGATCGGCGACTCCGCCGCGGCGCTGACGGCCGGGAGCGGCGGCAGAGGGGAGAGGAGCGGCGGAGCCGGAACCGGGGGAGTCTGGCTCGGGGAGAGCTGGGCGAGGGGCGGCGGACGGATGCGGTGGAGACGGGAGGGGGGGCCGGCCGAACAAGGACGAGGGGGGGGCAGAGGCGGGGCCTCCGCGGGCTGCGGGCGGCTCTGGTGGTACGCGGGGGATCCGGTGAGCTTCTGGACGACGTCGCGGAAGTCGTTCTTGTCGATGTTGTACACTGGCGGCTGCGGCTGGTACGGCGGACCCCCACCCCCACCGGCCGCCGTCTCCGGCAGTTTGGGGACCGGAGCGGCCCGAGCGGCGACGGGGGTAGGGTCAGCAACGGGGTTTCTGGGGAGGGGCTTGGAGATCTTATAAGAGGCTCTGTTGAGGGACTTGAGTGAACTTTGTATGCCGTTGCTCCTCGTCTTGCCGCCATCGCCGCTGAGAGTACCAGCATTAGCATCACAGTTTAAGGAGCTGGCATTCGCAGCCGCGGTGGTGCCCGAGCAACGATGGGTCTTCTCCATGAACACTTTCCCGTGAATGTCTCTCTACCTTTATTCCTTTTTCTAAGTGTACAATAAGCATCATCTAACAGTGTTCGAATTCAAGCGAAATTTGCCTTCATATTACCTTGATATGATAGGTTGGTGGCCCAAAGATGAGCACAGTGCGAGAGTGACAGTGACAGGGGGACCGAGAGCGATGTGGACCGTCAAAAAGCCGCGTTTTGGAGACGCACATAACGACAACTCAAAGAGGAAGGAGGGAGGGAGGGGAAAGAGTCACGTGATCGCTCGGTGATCGTTTGCCTCCTTTTTGGCGAGAGGTCCCCATTGTTTTCCCCTTAAAATAAGGCCACATACAAAGGTTTTGGTTGACCGACAGCAACTTTTGACCGTCCCGCCCATGCTTGGGCATTAACTTCTAACTGAAGCCGTCAGATTGTGAGATCCAACGGCCATGATCGAAATCCACCATCTCGTTTCATGACGTCATTCACTGATGGGACGTGGCAGGGTATTCTTCCTCCTTTTGGGATCCGCTGAAAGAAAAGACTCACCACATGTCACCAGCTCGGCTTTCCATTGGACAACGCGAAAGGAAGCACCGTTCGCATCCTACGTGGGCAAGGAAAAGCACAGTTCGAAGGACTACGGTGTCGGGTACTACCGTGGTCGATGTGGCAGTTCTATTCACCTCAAATGATACGCTCCAGGTGATCCACCAACGATAGGCCGCCACGTCGGCAAGGAATTTTTATGTTTCGTGGATCCTTGTCGTGCGGCCGTCACGCGGTCGTCCAACGAAGTAGGCGGAGCAGCGGAGGAGGCAATGCCATCGCGGAGGCTCTCCGCCAAATTTGGCGGAGCGGCCGAGGGGACGGCCTCCCACAAAACAAGATTCCTACCTTCTCTCTCCCTCGTTTTCTCCCCCTTCGCTTTCTATTTTCTTCTCCTCAATCTTCGCGGAGAACACAAAGGAGGAGTACCCCCCACTTTGATTTGGTGTCATGCCTGTCGTTCCCTGGCGCAGGCATCTCAAGCTTCCTCTTCTGATTTCATCGTCCTTTCTTCTCCTTCCAACTTGATATCTGTAACGAGTCTTTTGCCAAATTGAAACTGCATCTCACGCAAGCTCCCGTGCGTGGCTCGCAGCAGCCCTGTCTCCGTGTCCGGTCGTGCGGTTGTCTTCTTCCCTAAGAGCTTTCTCTCCCGAAAGCGCATAGAAAAGAACGTTCTTTGGTCAAGTAACCATTGTTTCCTACAGCCATTCGGCAAGAGAATTAGGGTTTAGATCGAATGACGTGGTGAAACTATGGATACGGAAGAGAAGTTGCTTCAGCTGCAAGAAGAGCTGAAAAATGTGGCACGAGAGCGCTGCCAGGCTCTGGAAGAGTTGGAAGAGATGAAATGGAGGATGCTTTCTGAGGAGGAGAACAAGGCGAACTCGAAGGCCAGATTGGAGATGTTAGAATCTGAGCTGGAGAAAGCCAAGGAATCAGAAAGAAGAATGCTCGAGTCCCTCACGTGCCAGACCAAACAGCTCGAGCAAACCAAGATATTGCTGGAAGAAGCCAAATTGGAGATAAGGTCTCTCAACGAGAGCATCGGAATCTTAGAGAGTTCCGCAGGGCCCAAGGCCAGCACCGTCGAGAAGGGCGTCACGCCGGAAGTCGCTCGCGGCAGCCAGGAGATCGGCGCGCTGAGAACCGAATTGAGGTTGGCGTTGGCTGCGGAAGAGAAGAGCAAGAAGGCCATGGATGATCTGGCTTTGGTCCTCAAGGAAGTCACGACGGAGTCCAGTTGGATGAAGGAGAAGCTCTGCCAGACGCAGTGCGAGCTAGAGAATGCGAGGGGAGAGGCAGAGCGCCTTAAGGTCATGCTGAAGCGCACGGAGAACAAGCTTCGGGTGACGACGGAGGAGTCCAAGAGGCTCAAGTCGGAAGCGGAGGAGTCCTTCGCCGCGTGGAACGCGAAGGAGACGGGGTTCCTGGAGTGCATGAAGATGTGCGAAGACGAGATCATCAACATGAAGCAAGAGAACGCGAAGTTGGCCGATCTGCACAAATCGGCGAGGCAAGAGATCTCCAAGCTGCGAGACATCCTGAAGCAGGCCGTCAACGAGGCTTCGGTGGTGAAGGAAGCTTTGGAGATTGCTCGGAAAGAAAATTCCCAGCTCCAAGACATGCTCACCGAGAAGGACAACTCCCTGGAGAACATGGCGCAGGAGTTGGAATGCCTCAAGGCCAGCGAAGCAGCTGCCCTCGACAATGTAAAGGAGCTGCAGAGTTTGCTCGTCGCGTCCTCGTCGATTGACTTGAGCTCCACAAGCAATTCTTCTGATAAGGACGCCTTCAGAAGTCCACGAACACCGGCGAGCGGGAGCGCAGTCCGTAAAACCATGGCGAAGTATCCGTCGGAGAATTGGAAGCACGAAGACCCGTTGACGGAGAGCGGGCGTCGACTGTCGCTGGGGGACTCCGACAGGTTCGAGGGGTCGATACTTGACCTGGTGGAATCGCCCAGGCAGAAGAAGGATGAGGAGGTCGTCGCAGTGGCAGAGAAGAGCTCGTTGACGACGAAGAGCTTGCATTCTTCCAGCAACCAAGTCGACAGGAAGCAGCTTAATGGCATGGAGAACGGGTGGGATTCCCCGATACGGCAGAAGCTGAAGAAGAGGCAAATCCTTCGAAGGTTCGGAGACATGCTGAGAAGAAGCATTCATAATTGAGAGTGGAATGCTTCTGCATGCAGAAGAAAACCATTTCACTCTTTGATTCGTGCGTATTACTTGTTCAAGGCTACTCCTTTTCTCTCTCTCTCTCTCTCTCTCTCTCTCTCTATATATATATATATATATATATATATATATATATATATATATGCTTTTGGTTGCATTAAATGGAATAGAAATGAGAGGAGAAATCCTTGCTAGCAATTTCAAGTTTCAACCCAATCTGACTCATCTGAGTGAATAGCATGAACACCACTTGGCCATTTTATATTTTGATTTTTAAAATTAATTATCATGTCTAGTGGTGATATTTATTTTATTCATGATAGAGTTGTAACATCTCATTAGTCCCACATCGGAAGTGGACAATGTGTATGATTAGTTTATATGGGCCTGATGAAGTGTACTATGTTAACTCATCGTACTAAGGTCGTGACGAGAGTAAATAAAAATAAATTAACATGATCAATTTTTGTGCAAATGTTGAGCATTTATTATAAAATTAATAAATAAATATCTGTGCCTCCGTGGTGGAAGCAAGAAAATGAGATTTGATGAATTTGACCTACAACTTACAATTAGATTTGATTTGATGCATGTTAATCCGAATTATTTTGACTCATTCTCAAGAGCGAAAGCCGGGCCCTAGAACACGATTGGTGTTCCTGATTTGGGCTACGAAGCCTCTTGTTATCTGTCTTGATCTCACTTTTCCTTCCATTAAAGCTATGATGCACTGCTCACTGTTCTTGTAGCAAAAAATATTGTTAAGACCATATCAACATCATGATTTGTAGGTGCTGTTCCATAAAGCAGCTTATAGGCCCCCGAAGAATCGTGCACAGAGAAGTGAGGTGTGTCTATTAATCCGCAGGGGAAGCTGTTTCTGTGTTCCATTCTGTCTTTGCAAGGTACATCAAACAAAGCATGTAGTCACTGGTGGCTGCAGAGTCCTAATAAAGAAGCAGACACTTCAGTTGTCATCAGTACACGAGATTGTCTCTAGTTCTTGTGAGGTCAACCGTGTGAAAGAATTAGCTGTATTATGATCCCACTGTTAAAATAAAGAGATAAATGAGTTGTAGAAGAAGAAGTTGAATGTTATTGACATATCCTCCGTCTTTATATATAGGTTAGAAGGAGAAGTTTCCTCAACGGGTTAGAGGATTTCCCTCAACAGAGTAGAGAGATTTCCTCAACAGTTAGGGAAATCTCATCTACTTATCATGCCCCCGCAAGATGGTGCTCCTATCAAGGAGGCCAATCTTAGACTGATGTAATGCAAACAGCTTACGAGCTATAGGCTTCGTAAGTGACTCGGCCAATTGATCAGCC